AAGGGTGAAAGAATGCATTCATTATATATATGTGCAAATGGAACTAAGAAAATTGACGGCATGTGTGGGATTGGGAGAGATGGGGAGAACCACAGAAGGGGTGACACTGATCAAGATTCATTATACTTATAAACTGATATGTTGAATGAATTGAAACCCCTTTGTACAAATACTTGAAGATAAAAACATAAATGAAGGAGCTCTTTATATTTCATAGTTTAGCAGTTGCTAGTTCCTTAGTTCCAGGTTGAGATCAGTCATGTTAACCGGGTTACCTTGCCTTCCTGTGTCTAAACATACTGAGGACTGATGACACAGCTCCTGGCAGATAAGAATGACTGTGTTCCCCTAATATATTCATGCTTTTAAACAGTGAATGAATAAGTTCAAGTGCAAGGGAAATTATGCCAAAGTTTATTTGTATGTAGGGTTATAGAGATTCTAGGTGATTTTTTTTTAACCTTGAGGATTCCCATGCATGAAGCAGTCTGTAGGGATAATGACCAACACAATCACAAGGTTAGACTCCAAGCCCAGGCATGTTCCCTCATCTCATTCATGGTCTGTGATGGTTAGGAACTGCTTAAGCTATTCATATTTGTGCAGTGTGGTACTTTGAGAAGTAGTTAGAGATTGCCAGGATCTTGAAGTTGCTTAGCTCAGAGGACCAGTATTCAGCCCCTCACAGATGAACCTTCTTGGGACTGTGAAACGTATTTCCAGAAGCATTTCTGATCTCCCCAGCATCATCTTGTGATGGTAGCTTACCAGTAAGAGCATTTATATAATGATACTGAAAACCTTTTGATTTTTTTAGTGTGAGGGTATGTGCATGAGTGAGTGTGTGTGTGTGTGTGAGAGAGAGAGAGAGAGAGAGAATAAGAGAGAGGAGAAAGGAGAAGAGAGAGAGGGAGGAGAGAGAACAGGTATGTGGATATGTGGATGGGGAGCTACCATGTTTGGATTCCTGTGAAACTGTCGGGACATCTGTTCTCTTCATATTTGTTAGGATGTGATGAGAGTACTAACTCTAAATGTGAGGCAAGAAATAATAATGCTTTCGGGATACCATGAAGAATTTCCATTTTGACATTTTAATATAAGAAACATCTTCCTAAAATTTCTTTAGGGTTTTGTTAAAAGAGATTTCTTTTTTTTTTAATAAAAAAGCAAAGACTAACCCTTAACAGCCTTACTTTTTTCAAGTTTGTTATTTTACTTTCCACTTAATAACTTTTAAATGATGGCATTCTTTCTGGATGAGCATCAAATTCAGAAAGATTGCCTTTATTTACTGCTGGATTTATACTATTCTTTGAAAATAGTTAAACTTACTGATTATAATCAAAGCTGACTTGCTGATTTTGATTCTGATTAGTTTGGTTGGTGGAGATGGTCAATAGTGGAGTATTACTTTAAAGTAGTAATGCTAACACAGAAGATCAGATCTGTGGATTTTATGAAAGTATTTATCAAGACTGGATTAATGGTACAGACCTGCAGTCTCAACTTTTCAGGAGGCAGAGTTGGGAAGATTTTGGTTTGAGAACAGCCTAGGAACAGTTAATGAGACTCTATTTCTGGAAACAAGCCAGGTATGTACAGCTCACATGACAGCTAGGCTGGAGATTCAAGTAGGAACTCAGTTGGAAGCCTGCTGTGGACCAAAATGTGAATTCTGTTTGAAAAAAAAAAATACTTGGCCTGGGAAGGTGGCTCAGTGGTAGAGCGCTTGCCTTGCATGCATGAGACCCTGGGTTCGATTCCTCAGCACCACATAAGAAAAAAGAAAAAAGCCGGAGGTGGCGCTGTGGCTCAAGTGGTAGAGCGCTAGCCTTGAGCTGAAGAGCTGAGGGACAGTGCCCAGGCCCAGAGTTCAGGCCCCACGACCGGACCCCCCCCCCAAAATACTTGGGATAGCATGGAAGAAATGCTGGGTAACTCTTTTACTGCATTGTAACATTTGGGTTTTAAAATCTCTGCATCTTAAATTCTGAGGTATTTGTTGCCTTGCATATAATTATCAAAATTATAAGACATATCTGTCTTCTCTATAAAGATTGTAGATTATTTTCTTTAACTATTGGGTTATGTAAAATATTTTTTCTTTTCTGCATTAAAAAAAAAAAAAAGAAAATTCTCAGGGTGGGTATGGTAACCTAGGCCCAGCTATTCAGAAGGCAGAGATTGGAAGGATATCAGTTCCATGCTAGCTTAGGCAAGAAGTAATTAACTCACCAATAAGCTAGTCACGATACATGACCTATAGTCCCAGCTACAGGGTGGTACAGGATTAAAGTCCAAAGCGAACAGTGAGACCTATAAAAAAAATACATAAACATGAAAAAAAGGCTCAAGGAGGGAGATGGGGAGGAGAGGGATGGGGAAGTAGCATGACTCAAGTTAGGACTGCAATTAAACCCCAGTAATAACACACACACACACATACACAGACAAGCACAACATAACACAGACACACATACTACACACTTATGTATTTTTCAAAGGCTATAATAACCTTTTCTCTTTTCCACTCACTTCCATTTAAGGTAGGAAATTAGCTATAGACCACAGAGAAATACTGTTCATGAAAAATTTTTGTTTATAGTAGTGCTGTGGCTCAAGTGGTAGAGCACTCGCCTTGAGCTGAAGAGCTCAGGGTCAGCGCCCAGGCTCCAGAGTTCAAGCCCCACAACCAACCAACCAACCAAAAAAAAAAAGTTCTTATTTATTATTTATTTTTAACTTAAAAAAAAACAACCTACAAGACATTTCATTTTTAGGTTGTTTTGCTAAGAGAATATTTTCTAATTTGATTCATTAATTACTTCCTTTGCTATCTCTCAAGCTTATAACTGGGATGTAGTGCTTCCTATTCCAGAGATTGTGATCTTATGTTGTGTCTTCCCTTAATTGTAACTTGTTGGATTTTCATGGTAGGCAGTGTGAATGACAGGCCAATGACAGGAAGTTCCAGGTCTGTCTCAGGTTGGATTGTCGTCTCACATCAGGTGACTGGGATTCCTTGGCTAGGCCTCTGTCACACTGCAGGTGGAAGAGTTGACATCTGTTGGATGAGCTCTTAGTTCTGAAGTTCAGCTCTTCTTAGCCTGTCCTTTATTATTATTATTATTACATTGTTACTGCATATTTGTTGGTTTTCTGAATCTCTTTGGTCATGGTAGCTGTATAATAACATTTCTTGTTTGGAATTTGGAGGGGATTTTTATAATTAGAAAGTGCATTTTAAGTTCACAATATTAAAAGCATGATAAGCATTTGTGGGTGTGAAGTTTTGGCACCAATTGGTTTCATGTTACAGTGGAAGGTTGTCCCGTTTCACCCAGAATAACTAGTTTATTCTCAGCATAGTCTTCAAGTATTTGTTCTCAGCATAGTCTTCGAGAATAGAGATAAACGTATCTGCACATATACCTATAGGAAAGAGTGTTTTTTTTTTAAATCTATCCTAATTTGGCTTCCTCTGAAACTGATAGATACCTATTTGTAAAGTGGTATATCTATATATTTTTCTTTTAGATTATCATCTTGTTACCTGGTGTTGAACATACGGTCTTCTGCTTGTACATATGAATATATATGGAAATAATAAAGGTGGGGTTTTGTGAGAGACTTTTAGGTGAGCTTAGTGGTTTAGTTGGAACTGATAATCATTTATACTGGAATTAATGAGGGGAAAAAAGCTTGCTGTAACTTCACTGAATATTTTAAGCTTGTTCTTAAAAAAAATTCACATATGTATATGTATATATGTGTGTGACTAAATCCATTAAATTTCAGCAAATCTTCAGTGTGACTTCTTTCTTTTTCTCAAATAAATAAGCAAATATGGTAGTGAGGCAATGATTGGCTGGAGAATAGAAGGTAGTACATCCCAAGTTTTAATTTTCTGGATTGTTTAACTCTGACAAGTATTAGAGAAGTTAATTGGTGTACTATATATAACACGGTTATTTGTATAGTCATATGTTTGTCTTTGGAAAAACTGTCTATTAACAGCCTCATCTACCAGAAAGAAATTTGAGATACATTCATATAATAGGAATTGTAGAGGAGTGCCTGTATTGGAGTGAATCATTTTTTGGGTTATGGACCATACAGAACTCAGTGGGTTTTTAAAATTTCCTTTGCTATCTGGTTTTACCTTTTTCCTGACCTTTTCATCAGTATTGTTTTCAGGGTATGTGTTTGGTATAATACATCAACAAAGGAAAAACATTAAGACTACTTCATAATAATGGTAGTATTTATAAAAGTAAGCATTGGAAATTCTTCGTTCTCTACTGCATAATATTCTTTCATGTGTGTGAGTGATAGTTTTTAATCCATCAGCTATGCTTGAATATTACTTTGTGGTTGCAAATAAACCTTAAATGAATAGCCTTATGTGCATGTATTCCATGTTGTTGGAGATATGTCTTCAGGATAAATTTCTCAGAGTGTGGTTTCTGCTTGAAGGGGAAACCAATAAGTTCTTTTGTTATGTGTGCCAAGTTCTTTCTTGTGGTTGTAGTTTTGCATTCCTACCAGCAGTGTATGGAATGTTTCTTCACAGCCTCATCAACTGAGGGAAGATGAGGTCATAGCAATACTCTTAAGTGGTTAGGACAGATTTTAATCTGCAATACACGGTTCCAAAAAGAAGGAGGCCAGTCTAAGCTGAATTTAGCTCCCTTCTGTATAGGAGCTAAATACTGTATAGGAGCAAAAATACTTGCTAATTCAGTGATTTCTTAAAAACTATGGTTCTGGGACTTCAGTTGCTTCATACTGCATAGGTTGCTTTTCCTGATGAATACTTTAAAAAAAAATACTGAAATGGAAATGGCTTCAGAAGAATTTTTTACTATTGAGTTTTTTCTATAAATATAATGATGGAAGAACATTTCTTATCTCTAATTTTAATGAATTTGATTAATAATGGATCATTTTAATTAATGTCAAGTGTTTTAAAAATTAGCTGTGTTCATTTTCTTCAGCATGTTACACCAGACAGCTACATTCCCTGCCTGGCAGACCTGTGTAAAGCACTGTGGGAAGTTATGCTCAGCTACTACAGGACCATGGAGTGGCATGAAAAGCACGACAATGAGGATGCAACTACAGCTTCTGGTATGAAAGAATTGGACTATAACAATATGAACTATTCCTGGAGCAAGAGAAAAAGGAAAGGGAAATACCTTGAGAATTTTAGATATTAGTGATTAACGGAGTAAATGTGAAAGACAAAGCTCCATTGTCTTTGGGGATTCATTGGCCTAAAGGACTTTTTTTTTTTTTTTGGTGCTTGAACTCTGGGGCTTGAACTCACACCCCCGGCACTGTCCCTGAGCTCTTTTTGCTCAAGACTAGCGACTAGCTCTCTTAGTACTTGAGTCACAGCTCCACTTCAGTTTTCTGGTGGTTAATTGGAGATAAGAGTCTCATGGATTTTCCTGCTTAGGCTGGCTTTGAACTGTGATCGTCACATTGCAGCCTCCCGAGAAGCTAGGATTGTAGACATGACCACTGATGCCTGGTTGGCCAAAGGACTTTTAAGTGGCTGTTAGTACAAGCTTATGGGAGAAGGTGCTATTGGCCTTAGGAGTGAATTATTTGGAAAGAACTTGTTTTAAGTGTGTGTGTATGTGTGTGTGTTGTGTGTGTGTGTGTGTGTGTGTGTGTGTGTATTTGTATGTGTGCTATTATGAACCAGGTAAGCCATCAGTCCATCCAAACTTACTATGAAATCCAAGATAAATGCTCATTGTTAATCTGTTTTACTAATGTTTAGGTTGTACTAATAAGGCTAGGCTCTTAAGAATTTATCAGGCACCATGCCTCATGTCTAGTGTCTCCTGTTTCCTGATTCCCTTCTGTTCACCATGGCGTTCCACTTCAGCTCTCCATTGGAGTTGATCTGGTTTGTTGGTATTGTTTTTCTGCTCTTTCTTTCCTCTCTTGCTCTTATGGCTCGATTTTCTTACAGTGTTAAGTATATTTGAGGGGCTGCAGGTCTTTGTGACAAGAATCTACCTGCGGTTGCCAGCTTTCCAATAAAGAATTGTGATGCACCCTCTCTCAAAAAAAAATTATCACCATATTGATCTTTTCCTGTTGAAAATGCAAGACGACTTTGAACTTTATACAATAATTAAGAATCTTTAAATGGAAAGTACAATTATAAATGACTGTAGTATAGACAACCAAACAATAAAGAACAAGGCTAAGAAATTACTGTAGTTACTAGGCATTCTATTTAAATTGCCTCATTGGTATAATTATATATAAGTGATTAGTCTTTAAACAACAGTCAAGATTAACTATTCAGCGTGCTGGGAAGGTGGTTCAGTGGTAGAGTGCTTGCCTTGCATGCATGAGGCCCTGGGTTCGATTCCTCAGCACCACATAAGCAGAAAAAGGCAGAAGTTGTGTTATGGCTCAAGTGGTAGAGCACTAGCCTGAGCTGAATAGCTGAGGGACAGTGCCCAGGCCCAGAGTTCAGGCCCATGACCAACAACAACAACAACAACAAAAAAGATGAAGTATTCAGAATATGTATAAGAGCAACAAATGATTTTATCAGCATTTTGTTTAGTATGGAAAGAAGTCATAAATATATTGCATTCAGTTGTATCATGTACAATTTAATGCAAACTATTCAAATTTTTTAGTAACTTATAGTTTCTGAGGTGCTTGGCTTCTGTGACTGGGTAGTTCAAGAAACACCCACTATTCCGGATAGAGGCATTGATAGGGTGTTTTTTTTTTTTTTTTTGGTCAGTTGTTGGGCTTGAACTCCATTCCTGAGCTTTTCAGCTCAAGGCAAGTGCTTTACCACTTGAGCCACAGTACCGCTTCTGGTTTTCTGGTGGTTAATCGGAGATGAGAGTCTTACAGACTTTTCTTGCTTAGGCTGGCTTTGAACTGTGATCCTCAGATCTCAGCCTCCTGAGTAGCTAAGATTACAGGTGTGAGCTACTAGCACCCAGCTGCAAAATAAAAGTTTAATCTTTGTCTTGATTCATAAAAGGATTATAAACACAGAAAGCAAAACAAAAAAGGAAAGTTCTATGGATGGATTTTCATTCACTGAGAAATATTGTCAGGGAGGGTAAAGGGAGAGGAGGAGAAAAGAGGTAGTAGGCATTGAGCTAGGATTGCAGACCAGCAGGATGCTGAAATGCAGCATCCACTTGTTATAGGGTATATTAAATAGGTACGTTTCATTAGATAGCTGATGAAGAGAACATCACACACTGAAAAATTTATTTACCAAACTGCTGCCCCGACCATGCATGGTGGAGAGGCACTGCTGAAAAGGAAGGGAGGACCCACCCCTTTGGCCATGACTTATCTAGGCCATGGACAGGAAGAGGTGTGGCGACGCTCCTAAGGTCAGATGGGAGGCACGTGACCAGAGGTGGCCCAGGATGTGACCTAGGAGGGGAAAGTGACTGCTTCCAGGACTGCTAGTTACCTAGGTAACAGATGCTGGGCGGAACTTAGCCAAGAGGTAGGGAGATGTCCTGTGCAGACCTTACACTTACATCTGCAAAACCCTGGTTTCAAGGTTCAGTACTGAGAACAGAACCAGGTCAAATCAAAAGTGATATTCCTAGCTCCTTAAGGATCCAGTTTTTCAGAAAGTTGATCTAGATTTGGCACCTTTTATGTTTTCTTCTAGATATGGATAGGATATATTTTTTTAGATAGTGTTAACAATATTTCAGCAACATTTTCTTTTCTGGTGCATCATTTAAGAGTAACCTGAAGGACAAGTTTCTAACAGAATTAGTATATAAATTAAGACTATAAGAATTCATAAATGTACTAAATTACTATGTATCAAAAATATTAAAAATTAAAAAGGAGTTAGAGGTCAATATATACATTCATCATGGTAAAACCTGTTTTCACTTTAGGCAATTAGTATGCATTTCTTAGCGTACTGAATTCAGCATAAAATGACTTGAGCCTTGCTTATTCAGTCTTCTTGGCTAAGATTCCTTAATTCTGATCTGTGTGTTTTGAGTATTCAGGTTCTCCGATTAGTCTCACAGTCCATTGATAGTTTTGAGGACTCTAAAAGTTAATTGTTCACTTTAAATTAATTCTTTGCTTTTTTTATTCACATAAAGGTATATCTCTTCAAATAAATACATTTTCTGTTATTATATTTTATTCTTTTCAAAGTGGCAAAGAGTTTAATAAAAAGATAAAGTTACCATTAAAGGAAACTGTGGGCCCAAGCTGGGCAGCTTAAGATCCAATCTCTGTTGCTTTAAAGGGAAAACTTGATTTAAGGCAGATCATTGGTCTTAATTTGTTGAACTAGATAAGGTTGGCATATTTCTACAAAATAATGAATGCTCTTATTGTAATTAGCATACAAAAGTATTCATCATTATTTCATTGCAGGAACACATTTGTGATCTACTCTGGTTGATGTGAATATTAATTCATTATTGGATTATTTGATCCTATAATGCCCCAGTACCAGCATGTTCACTTGTATTTCAACAAGCACTATGTGACCAATGATAACCTAGTCACTGAGACCACACTACTGTGTTGGAATTCTTACTCCAGTCACATGAGTTAAGTGGTCTGAGGTATATTTAGCATTCCACTGGCTAACGTTATCAATCTTACCAAATGGGTTTAATTCTGGTGCCTATTTTTGACATTGTTTTGAATGTGTAAATATTTTATGTATTTATATTTTATGTATTTATGTATATTTTATATGTATTAAATATTTATATGTGTATTATATTTATATACATATAAATGTATTATATATGTATATATGTATTATATATTTATATGTATTATATATTTATATATTTCATGTAGTTTACAAAAATGAGACTGCAAATGACTATTGGTAAACTTACTGAATTAAAATCTAAAAATATATATCATCTTTTATTTTCAGAAGGGAGTAATATGATGGGTACTGAAGAAACTAATTTTGATCGTGGCTACATAAAAAAGAAGTTAGAACATGGACTTACACGAATATGGCAGGTTTGGTTTTTTTTAAAAAATTATAAAAGCAGTAGAAATCTTCATGTCAAAGTTGCTTTACTAATTAAAAAGTTTTCTGTATTCTTTGTAGGTTTAGTCCTATGTTAGTTTTTCCTCAGAATAAGGCTACAATTTAATTGGAATTGAAATGACAGCATCTATGGTAGAATTTCTGTTAATGCAGTATATGTACTTTGAAATACCTAGCATTTCTTATAGCTAGTCTCTAGTCATTGTGGCAACCTAATAGCATTACTGATACAAGAAGATCAGTTAAATGTAAGGTTGATGAGCCATTGTCACTGAAGAATTTGGTAAGCATTTCCAAGTTATTGGAAATCATCATGCTTTTAAGTATAGATAACTGTTTCAGCTTTAGAATATCTTTACCTCCTCACTGCTCAGTCCCCTCTTCATTCCCAGCCCTAATTCTCAGCTTGTCTAGAATAGAGATTTACATATTTTAGGAACTCATTGAGTTTACTAAATTGAAATTACAAGGCTAAATACAGTATAATTGAAAACATTAATTTTGAATAAGGAATTCTTTTTTGTTAAGATAGCCAGCAGGTAAAACTTGATGGAAATAGTAATGAATTGATTTGGGATGTTGTCACATACTCCACTACCAGGATGTAATATAATATATGCTATATTTTAAGTATTACAGTTGTTTCTTCTGTAAATGTAGAAATGTGTTCTTTTTTTGTTTGAGAGATAGTTTCATTAGATTTAGTATTTGAAATTTTATTAATGTTACAATTTTGCATATTATTTGTATACTTTATGATTATTTATGTGGTAATATTTAATACCTTATTTGCTATTTATGTTATTTTTACTTAGGTTTACTTATTTTTACTGTGCAGATGGTTAGCATTTTTATATCAAACTATTGCCTTTTGTGAGTTCTTATATGCTATCTTTATTCTTAAAAAGCTCCATGTAATGTTCAGTTACAAATTCATCTGATAATTATAATCATATAATATTTAAACTACAAGCACTATTACCTGGAACATTTAATGTGTTTTTTTTGTTGTTGGTCCTTAATGGTTTTTGTGGATACTTGATACATTACTAACATTATTTGCTTTAAATAAGGTTGAGTAAAAACCCTGTATCGATAACTCTATATAGACAGTACAAGTCTTCCAACATTACCTTAACTTCTATTCAATTTTTACAAAGCCTTTAAATTTTTTTATTGTACAAATACTATAAGAGGGGTTACAGTTATAGAAAGCCTTACTTTAAGCCCATAAGTTATTGCCAGGTATAGGTTGCTCAGACCTACTTAGGAGGTTCAAAGCCAGTCTTATTTCCAATAAACTACCCCCAAAAGGCTGATAGTGGAGTTATGGCTCAGATGGTAGGGTGCTAGCCTTTCACAAAATAAGTTCGGGGACAGAGGTACATGGGCTCTAAGTTCTAGCCCCAGGAGAGAGAGAGAGAGAGAGAGAGAGAGAGAGAGAGAGAGAGAGAGAGAGAGAGAGAGACACACACACACACACACACACACAAATGGGGACAGAGGTACATGGGCTCTAAGTTGTAGCCCCAGGAGACACACACACACACACACACACACAACACACACACACACACACACACACACACACACACACATACCATAAAACGTTATTACCTCTTATTCTATGTGAATTTTAGAAATCAGAAGAAAAGGTCTTGTGATTTTGGTTAGAGTTTCATTGAACCTAAACATTGATTTGGAAAATCAGCATCTTTATACTATTTGGTCTCCTGTCTGTTTCCATCAATTTTTTTTTATTTTTTCCAAGTTTCATTTGTATTTCATAAACAATTGTGTGTGTGTCTTTTACATCATATAGCATAGCATTTAATAGAACTTGGTTTTATTGTAGTGAGATTCTTGTCATTGCTATTTTGTGTCTGATATTTATGAAACTGTCTCTGTAATATTGCCTTGAAAGTTATTGGCTGTTAGCTTAAATAGTTTTAGTTAAGAATGGAACAGAATTGTTGGAAGAATGAGTTATAAAAATAATGAGTTATGGAAGTAATGAATGAGCTTTGAGACTAAGTCTGTCATCATTATTGTATACCAAGGATCATCCTTAGTTATGATGTCTAATCCAGTCCTCCCAACCCAGCATTCACGTCTTTCTACCGAAGGGCTGACAATGGGACTCTAAACCTTGCTCTAAAGCCTGGCTTATTCTCTCACAATCATCCAGTGCACAGCTTAACACATAGTGAATAACCACACTGACTATGTTATTAGTTTGCTTTGTCGCCCTTTACAAGAAAAATTAGTAAGTGTAAGCAACTCAGAGGGAAAAAAAGAATGAAACACATTCTTGTCTTATCTTCATCTGTACCTAGAATAATTGGATCTAAAGAGCTTATTTTCTATATTTGAAGTTTTTGATTATCTTTTTTTGTCTTATAGGATGTTCAGCTAAAAGTAAAAACCTACTTGCTTGGAACTGATTTGTCTATATTCAAATACGATGATTTCATCTTTGTTTTGGATATAATAAGCAGGTAGTGTTTGAGATTTTTATCTTAATCTTTAGTTTGATTCATTCAACCATAATAATCACAGAAATGAGGAATTAATTAGTTATTATGTCTAACTTCTTCATGCAAATGAAGATAATTGTACACTCAAAACTAATTGTTGCTGGGTTGGTTTGTGAATATGCTAAACAGTTTGAATTTTGTAATCTGTAGAATTCTTTGCAATAAACAAGGTTTTATTGCTTGCTATCTTTGTACAAAGAACATCCAACTTCTTTGTGAGATATTTGCTGAAATTTACATAAACTTTTTGTCTAATTAGGTTGATGCAGGTTGGAGAAGAATTTTGTGGTAGCAAATCTGAAGTTTTACAAGAGTCTATTAGAAAACAGAGTGTCAATTATTTCAAGAACTATCATAGGTAAGAATTCTAATGCAATATGAATAAATTTAGGTAATGAGAATACTTTAGGCTTATGTTTACTGTTACAGCATTGTTTTAAAACCATAGTGTTTATACTTAAATACGTTCTTCCTAGCTCTTTTCATAAAGCTAAAAATGTTTCATCTAATATATGATAAAACATTCTTACTTATTCATTGAAAATCTTAGTATATTTTTGTCTTGCAGGCTTAAAGTACTGAATTTTGAATGTATTTGAGTGTATTAAATTTTGAATGTATTTCTTTAGGACTAAAGAAAATAATCACTACATCATAGTTTACTGAAAGAATTTGGCCACTGTGTCATGCCATAGAGATTGTAATCAGTGAGGTATCCTATTCTTAGTCTTTGGTGTAAGAAGTATTTTAGAGTAGAAGATGTGATACTCCCAAAAGTCTAGATGCAAAGCCAAGATTGTGTGCTCTGTTATTTTGCAAAACCATCACTGTTGACTTTAAAAAGGATGATAGGAATAGTTTTGGTGGAGAAAGGTGGGAAGGAATACTTATATATCAGAGTGACTACTTGTTTAAACCAGTGTTCAACTGAGAGAGAAAGCTAGCATATTAGATCCTTACTGATAGAAACCAGATCCAGAGCTATGTTTAAAAAGAATATATTCTGTCATATTTTGAAATATATTTTGTTGTTTGAGTTACAGTTTACTTTTTATTCTAAACCTTTACTTTTGTTATTGTTATTTTGGTGCCAGAGAGTGAAAGTGTGAAATTCTCCTTTTTCTCTTTGTTCACAGTTAATACCTGCTCACAGTGATAATATGCTATATCAGGGAAGAGATTATTGGGCATCAAACCATTGATTAATCATTTGTTAAATATATTTGGGTACAGATGTGATGAAATATAGATCAAGTGTGTTTTCATTTTCTTAAAAATGTTTAAATGTGGACTGGAAATGTGGCTTAGTGGTGGAGTGCTTGCCTAGCATGCATAAGGCAATTACTCTGTATTGTACCACATAAGTAAAATATATAAAATTAAAAAAGGTTAAAAATGTTTACACGTACATATACTTTGTTTCGTGGTACTCTCCTACCAAGTAGAGGTCTTGAGAATGAAGTCGTTTGTGAACCAATTTATTCATGTGTTAAGTACATAGTTAGGTGATTATTATTAAGATACAGGCATAAAAAAGGTATAAAAAAGCAGTTTACTTTTTGGAGGAATATCATCTATTTAGGAATTCTATTCATGTTATGCATGGCAGTTTTATAAAATGTGGCATGTCTATTTTCTGAACAAGCTTTCAGAATTATCAGTTTTATTCCAACTTTATGTTCATGTACTCATAGATTATATACACCCCAACCTACCATTCTTTCGCTAGAAATTACAAAACTTTAAAAAGCACAATATTCCAATTTCAACAATAATGACATAGAAATTATATAGCAATGTGTAATTGTCAAAACATTCTAGTTATAGAATGTGCATCAGATTTGTAATTACTGTAATTTTCAATGTTTATCAAATGTTTTCAAAGACCCTAAAAGTACATCGACAGATGTACCTATCTTTTTAATGAGAAAAAATTCTGTTGATATATAAAAGGTTTTTCCTTTCAGAAAATGTTGGAAAAAATAACACCCTCTTTTCTCCTCAGCACAAAAACAACAAATATCAGGTCTAAATAGCTAGAAACTATAAATGTTAACTTATAAAAAATACCTACAGGTGTGATCATGTTAAGTTTGTGAGGAGATGCTAAAGAGGTTGTTGAATGGTAGAACACATGCAAGATTCAGGTTCCATCCTTAGCACATAAAATATACACTTTCTTTATTGTATAGGTGATAAAAAGAGGGATTAGTTACGTAACTAAGGTAATGAGTACATTTATTTTTGAACAGTGTTAACACTTTCCCTCATTTTCTCTGATTTTCCCTCCCCTCTGACTTCCTTCCCCCGCAAGTTGTAAAGTTAATTTCCAACATAATGTCTAGTGACTATCACTGTTACATTGTCCTGCCATTTCTGTGATTCCCTTCCCTTCCCCAAATCTGATAAACTTACATACAAGGGTACAGAAATAAAAAATAGTGACAATGGGGCATAAACCAAAGGAAAGACAATAAAGAAACAAGAAATAGTAACAGTGCTGGCAGGGTTGTGGCCAAAAGGGAAGGCTACTACTGTTGGTGGGAATGTTAACTTGTTCAGCCACTCTGGAAAGCAGTATGGAAATACCTCAAAAGACTAAACCTAGAGCTCCCTTATGACCCAGCAATCCCATTCTTAGACATTTATCCAAATGACCACAAACAAGACCACACTAAAGCTACCAGCAAAGCCATGTTCATTGCAGCATTATTTGCCATAGCTAAGATATGAAACCAACCCAGATGCCCCTCAGTAGATGAATGGATCAAGAAAATGTGTTATATATACTTAATGAAATTCTATGGTCATTAGAAAGAATGACATCACCCCATTCATAAGGAAATAGAAAAACTTGAAAAAAAATTAAGTGAAGCAAGCCAGACCCAAAGAAACACAGGTTGCCTGGTTTCCCTCATTTGTAATACCTAGAACATGTCGAGGATATTCTTAGCAGGGGATCACAATAGCTCAATAGCTAGGTGAATATGGCCATATAAAATGAAGCTTATCAAAATGAACTCCAAGAAATGGAACTGAGGTTTTTATTCAAAAAACATACACTTTTAAGACAGTATCTTCTGTATTAGCTGGATGAGTCCTAAATGCCATCAGAAATAAAGGAAAGCAATAGGGGGTTTACATAGGCAGTGAGAAAAAGCTGTACATGCAGTGGAAAAGGCCACATGAGGCACAATTTGCAGTTTCATGGCTGAAGATCTAGAATACCACCAGCTGCCAAAGCCTATAAAGGGCGTAATTGAATGTATTCTTCCCTCAAGTGTAGTAGAGTGCAGACTCCCAACTCCTTGATTTCAATTCATTGATACAGAATTTTGGATTGTTGACCTCCAGAACTGTAAATCATTCTGGTATGATAATTCAATTCTTTTGTGTCTTTTTATTGTCATTTTTTGAAATACCTATTTGGTACATCTATCTCTGTTTTATTTAACTTATAATCCGTGTATAATGGCCTCAATATTTTGGGACATTCTTAGTTTTTATACACTCATCTACTCATTTCTCCTTTATTTTAAGGTGTTTGTATTTTAAAATAGTCTAGATTTTGTTTTTTAACATAGTAACACCTTGTGGTAGGAAAGACAAGAAAAGGACAGGTACTGGCTGTTATCAGTTATCTTTCTTGGTCTGCCTTTGAAATGTGCTGATTACTGAGCATAGATAATGGCAGCAAAAGCATTAGAGAAAGAAAAAGGTCAATATGACATTAGTGATTAGTGGACTGTCAGGTACAGATATGCCTTACCTGCTAGTTCAGTTTTATAATGAGATAGACATTGAGCTAAAAGTGTCCAGAAAGTGATACTTACATTGATATTGTGGCTTAGTAAATATGGTTTAGATCTGTGGTGTTCAGTATGAAGTATATATTACTATTGACCATCTTATATAATTTGTAAATTTTTGTTCTTTTTGACACTGACATATTATTAGCGATGAATATTTTAAGCAAAAAAGGTGCTAATAAACTTTAAATTTAGCCCCTTAGTAAAAATGACATTTCAGACATTCTTTTGCAATACAGTAAAAATATTCACGTAAGGAAATATTTAATAATTTTCCTCTTAAGGATTATAAGATATTAATGAGTAAAAAACAATAAACTTTTGCTATTGTGTTCATCTCAGTGGTTTCTCAGAGTTGATTATGATCATGATGATAGACCTGTAATTGGACTGTGCTCTATTTCTTCAATTCTAATTTGTAAAGTTTTCCTTTTCTTTTTGAAGAACACGACTTGATGAACTCAGAATGTTCTTAGAGAATGAGACTTGGGAGCTTTGTCCTGTGAAGTCAAATTTCAGCATCTTGCAGCTTCATGTAAGTTTTTTCTTATGAACAAAAATATTTTTAATCTTTTAAAATTTTTTAAATAAAAAATCTTTTTAATCTTTTAAAATAAAAGACAGATATGTCAAGTCATTTATAAAGCAGTCAGATGACTGAACAATGCTGATTCTGCCTTCCTTGAATGCTTTTAATGGCAAGCCCCTCCTATGAGAATTTCCTTTTATAGTTATGAAAAAATCTGTTTTTACAAATTTCATTTATATGCCTTAGGAAAACTCTTTTGCCTACGGGGAATTAACACTTAAAATGGTTGTTTTTTTTGAATTCTGCTAAATTACAAATTTTCAGAAAGTTATGCTATTTTAATAGTTTAATAAGAATGTTTATTACAATGCTTATTTGTAATTGCTTAAAGGGACTAATGGGTGTCAGAGTTTTACTACAATTCCTAAATTTGCCTGTATTGAGCAAATGCCTGAAAAAAAAATAAGAAACACCATTATATTTTTAACTGATTTTTATTTTGAATTCAATTAATAGAGTAAATAGTAAATGAAAAAGTCTTCAATTGGTGTGATTTTGTTTTGATTGAAATACATTGCTGATATGTTCTCCAAATCTAAAAATTCTAAGTTAATGTTAATTTTAGATGAATATCTGTTTAAGTACTTTACTCCAAGTTCTATTTAATCATTATATTACATGTGCATATTTACACACATAGTTGGTAAAATTGTAACCTCTCTTAAGCAGTATGTGGAAACATTTCTATTCTGGTGAATCTTATTTTCTTCAAAGAAGTTAATTTGGAGATCTCTTTTAAGTATAGAAAAATATTAATTAAATTTTTTGATAAGTTTTCCCAGTGTATATCTACATTTTGAGAGACCTGTGTGTTTGTTTTTTGCCTTTGAGGAAAATGCCTGTCAGGGAATACATAATTTAGGTTTTTTTGATAGTGCTTATTTGCTTATGTTCATATTTTATAATAGCTCTTATCTAGTTCTGTCATGTTTAGTCTTAATTTGGAAATAGTAAAAAGACTGAAACATGTTGGTTAATCTGTGCTGAAAAGCAATGTAATTATCATTAATTTTTAATTACAAATACTTAAAAATAATTCCTTAATGTTACTTAGAATTCTAAGTTAATGTTAATTTTAGAATATCTAATATCTGTTTAAATACTTTATTCCATGTTCTATTTAATCATTATATTATGTGTGCATATTTTGTAAGCCAACCTCTTCTAAGCAGTATGTTGAAACATTCCTATTCAGGTGAACATCATTTTCTTCAAAGAAGTTAATTTGGCAATCTCTTTTAGGTATAGAAAAAATATTAATTAAAATTTTTACCACTTTGGAAAGTAGTATGGAGGTTTCTCAAAAGACTCTACATAGAGCTCCCCAATGACCCAGCAGTCCCACTTTTGGGCATTTACCCACATGATCACAAACAAGACTATACTAAAGCTACCAGCACAATTATGTTTATTGCAGCATTATCTACCATAGCGAAGATATGGAACCAATCCAGATGCCCCTCAGTAGTTGAATGGATCAAGAAAATGTGGCATTTATACACAATGGAATTCTATGCCTTCATCGGAAAGAATGACATTGCCCCATTTGTTAGAAAATGGAAAGATTGGAAAAGCTCATATTAAGTGAAGTAAGCCAGGCCCATAGGACATAGGAACATAGGTTCCATGGTTTGCCTTATTTGCTATAACTAGTATATGTCTGAGACAAGCAGAAAAGGTCAGATAAGATGATGTTAGGCGAAATGAACCCCAAGATAAGGACACAATTGGTTTTGTTCTTTCTTGCTATTGTTTCTAATGTATTTATAAGGTATCATGTGATTTTTTTTGTTGCTTTGTATGTCCCACCCCCCACAGTATAACCCCTGTATTTGATGTTGGTATAATTTGGGGAGCGGAAAGGAAAAAACAAATTATTTAAATAGGGATACAGGTGGACCCATTGCCACAATGAGATGTATGAGTCGCTATGTCAAAAAACGAACTTTACAACTTTGGTTGGGGAAGGAGTGGGCCGGGGTGTAGTCATGGAGATGGGATGGTAGGGGAAAAACAAAGGAGGAGGCAACAATGCTTGATAAGAAATGTACTCATTACCTTGCTCATGTAATTGTAACCCCTCTGTATGATATTTTCACAATAAAAACTTATTAAAAAAAGAAAAATATTAATTAAAATTTTTGATAAGTTTTCCCATCAATAGTTTTATAATTTAAATTACTTTTAGAGATTGTTTCAACGATTTCATTAATTAGATATATAATCTTCTACTTGGTCCTTAATTTCTCTAGATCATAAATTTTGGTATCTGTATAGAATATCTAGTAAGCCAAGTGCTTGGTTTAACAATTCATTTTCATACATGATTTTAGTCTGCTCATAAGACTTTTGCTATTTAAAATTTTTTAGAAAATAGCCTTTATATTTCATATTATTTTCACAAACTTTTCTTAAAAGTTCTTTAAAGTAAACTAAAAGTAGTTCAAAGCAGATAACACTGATTTAAGTGATGTCATGGACTGAGTTAGCTGTAGCAAAACCTTTAAACATGGATTACCAAAACTGTGGTTTCATAGAGCTTGTAAGATTGACTTACCTGAAGATCATGATTTTCTTTCTACTTACTCTACATTGGCAGGATATGTTTATGTACTTGAAGTTTATTGTTGTTGCTATAATGTATTTGGCTCCTTTTTCAATGTTTAGGAATTTAAATTCATGGAACAATCCCGATCCCCATCAGTTTCACCTAGTAAGCAGCCAGTGTCAAGTTCTTCAAAAGCAGCAACTCTGTTTGAGCAATACTGTAGTGGTGGGAATCCATTTGAAATTCAAGCCAACCACAAAGATGAAGAAACAGAAGATGTCTTGGCTTCTAATGGAGTATGTTATATGGTGTATTTAGTGCCATGTATTTCCTATTTCTGTCCTTTTTGTTGGTGACTTCATTGTTCATAGAGTTCCATTTTAATGAAGTGCAGAAGTGCTCTTTAGTGTTCTCCAGTGCAAGAAGGCTTTGATGTATCTTATGGAGAAATGGTTGTACTAGACAAGCTTTACTTGGGCATGAATTATAGTGCTGTTGGGCATGAGTTCAGTGTTGATGAATGATGAATATTGTTACCAGAGGATCACTGGAATCTGATATGAACAATAGTTCAGTATTTGCCAACTCAGTGTTCACAGTAACTTCATAGAAAAGGAACCTTGTTTATAGTACAAGACCCAAATCAAGAAGGCAGATCATTGCTTTGCCCTCAGGTGGGAATGTTCATGTTGGATGACATGTCCATGAATGACTTGAAGAATAGGTATCTAAGGATGGGTTTGGGGATGTAACAGATAAATCTTAATGTATCAATGAGTTTGAAAATATTGAATCCTTATACAGAGAATACGAACAATACTGTGTAATCATGAAGCTCTGTTTCTATAACCAAGAAAAGCTAGTTGGTGTTGAACTTTGTGTGATATTAAGAATTTTGCTCATAACTGTAGGAAAAAGCTTACAGTGATTTTATTTTACAATTATTCACTTATGACCTGATCTTTCCAGGTATAAAGTAAGTCCTTGAGAATCTGGAACCACATCTAAATATAGCTCAATAGATTAGTGGATTTTATTAATAGATTCTCAAGAAGTAGTTGTTGAATTATGACAAACTTCTTTCCATCTTGTCATTGTACGTTTTTGTTCAGCTGTCATATGGAGATAAACATCATTAAAGAATTAATTTTTGGGATTCAGTGAAATAATTTGGGAAGTAACGTGGCTCATTACTTAGTCAAAACCTCAATGAATGTTAGCCACTGTTGAATTATGTTAATCTGTTACATCAGTGATGATGATATTGCTACTATTGCTCCTTTTGGTCTAGTATGGGTTTCACTGTTTTCCCTTTCTGGCGTAGGTCATGATGCAAGAGAGTTAGGGAAATATTACCAAGGCATCTTTCTCTCAAAAGCAATCAGCATGGCTATTAATGTAACAGTAATTTTCTAAGTCGTTCATTATAAGCATACACATGTATTTTGTGTTCACTAAACTGAGTCAAGACTTTCAGTGTGTCAGAAATAGATATTCAGTGTCATAATGAGTTAGCAAATTGGATAGTAAGTGTGATGAAACTTTTAGACATTTTTTGTAAAATCATTAAATACATATTCTTTTCATCATTTGAGTTCCTTTTGATGTATTTGGTTTTTGTATATGGAAATTTGATTTTCTTTGTCATTTACAAACCTCTATACATGTATTTTTGTTTTTCTTTTTCGCTGGGTAAGATGTAATGATTAAGAAAAAGAAAAATGAAGTATAGGAAGTGGCTCTGTGGCTCAAGTGGTAGAGTGCTCACCTTGAGCTGAAGAGCTCAGGGATAGCATCCAGTCCCAGAGTTCAAGTCCCATGGCTGACCAAAAAAAAAAAAGAACAAAAAAGTGAAGTATAGTATGATTCTTTGTAGTGAAATTAAAGCTAAATTATTAAGAATTTTTCTGTATTTAGTGGTCTCTTACACAGTTACAATTGGATTAATTTCGTTGTGTAGAAGGATTGCAGTAAAGGTGCTTAATCCTAAACCCACTGTGTTCTGTTCAGTACGAGTCTGATGAACAAGAAAAGAGTGCCTATCAAGAGTATGACAGTGACAGTGATGTTCCTGAGGAACTCAAGCGAGATTATGTGGATGAGCAGACAGGTGATGCTCCAGTAAAAAGGTAATCATCCTTAGGTTGTATACTTCTTTGGTTGTGGGCCTAACATATCATAGAATTCCCTTTGAAGATTAACAGAAATTTTAAAAAAAAATTTTTTTTGTGTTTATAACATTCTATAACAGAAGTTAATGTGTTTTAAAAATGATTCCAGAAAAGAGTAGAAAAATATGATTTCTCATATTTGATAATAGTAAATTTTCAGGGAAAATGTAATGCTTATACAAGCTGTACCTAAGAAAACTTCCTTAGGCATTTTACAAACCAATGCATTTCACTGGGAGTTTACTTGTTAAAGTTGTGTCAAAAAAATCATAGTTGTTGATTTTATTACTTTAAAAGCCTTTCCTTTATGCAGATTGTTTGCCGCAAGGTTCTAATTCCTTTTTTAAAATGCTACCAAAAGTTAATCTTTTTTAAAGTGCTTAAAAGTTTATCTGATGAAAATATTGGGCATAATCAGAGCTTTCAACTCAGAGATGAAGTTCTTGCTGTTATACAATAAATAGAGCAACTCTCCACTTTTACTTTCCCTGTGTCCTTTTGGTTTTATATTTGAATCTTGTATTAACATTTCCTGTTAGTGATTGAGGTTTGTTTTAGGATAACCTGTCCTTTTCAAAAGCATGATAGAATTTTTTATTGGGGGGGGGTCACTTTCTACCAGTTCAATACCTCTTGATTTTGATGTGTTCATATGAATTAATATCAGACAGTAACTACAAAGGTAGTTACATGATAGATTAAAACCCAAGATAGAATAATTTTTCCTTAAAAATGAGAAATTCATATAGCTTTAAGTATATCAATTATAAAATATTTTTATTGGTTTTTCCATATGTAATAGATTGAAATATCTATAGATGTGAGCAATTTTGAGCTGAATGGAGCTATTTTGTTTTATATCTTCATTAGTTAAATTTAGGTATGTTGGTCAAAGGAAACTCTGAATTGAATTGAAATGAACAAGTAAGATAGGGTTGGCTAGTGTATGTTTGTATTACATTTTTGGTAGTGTTAATGTTGCCTCCTAAAGTTTGAATCATGTAATTAACTACAGAAACCAAACTGTTAACAGTTGCTATAGGATCTAGATTATTGTGTCCCTTGAAAATACAAATTTTTGTCATGTGTGTTGCAGTGACCATCCTTCATGCCAAATTTATCTTTGTGCCAGATTATTCAATCATCCTCCTTTACTATGCTGGGTTTCTACGTATGTTGGGTGTCTCTTATTTTCTGCACTTTCCATATAACTTCTACTTCTCCTTTGACTCTGCTCCTTAACCCCTGATTCTGACATCACCCCGTATATTGAATTTAGCTTCTAAGGAGGCTGTTTTTTCATGTTTCCAAAATTAGGAAACTTAGTACATTTGCACCTAGACATATAATAATTTACCTAAAAATCTGTTTTTAAAAACTTACCAATTTTCAGTCATGACTAAAAACTGAATAACTTACTGGTTTATTACCTGGTAACCCTAATTGCAATTCTTGTTTTTCCATATTAAGTGTTTCTCGAGAAACCCTGAAAAGCAGGAAGAAATCAGATTACAGTCTAAATAAAGTGAATGCTCCTATCTTAACAAATACAACACTAAATGTGATAAGACTTGTTGGTAAGTAGTTATACCTTATTATAAAAAACTTTAGAGTTTTTAAATAAAAACCTTAAATGAGTTTGTTTTTGCTATTACATGAGTTTTATTTGATAACCAATGCCCTGTGCTGTGAGACTCTCATATGTCCCTATGTGCCAGTGGCTGGAGGCTAAGATCTGAGGATCATGGTTTGAAGTTTGGGCAGGAAAGTCAATGAGACTCTTTATCTCCAACTAGCCATCAGAAAGTAAGAAGTGGAGCTGATGCTCAAGTAGCAGAGCACTAGCCTTGAATAGAAAAGCTTAGTTGACAGTGCTCAGGCCCTGAGTTGAAGCCCCAGGACCAGCACACAAAACCTAACCAAACAAAAGAAAAAAGCCTCATGTCAATATTTCTCATCTTAAATGGTCCCAATAGTAACATACAGATATTAAACTGTCAATTTCACATTTTTAACGTAACTGCCTATTAAATCTTTACTTCTCTAAAATACTATAATTAAATGGAATGTAATAAAGATTCTCCTAGTTTAGTCAGAGGTGCACATGTGATAATGATACTGTTAGTTATCATGCAGACATTTAGTTTTTTGTTTTGGTCAGTCATAGGGCTTGAACTCTGGGCCTGGGCACTGTCCCTGAGCTGTTTAGCTTAAGGTGAGCACTCTACCACTTGAGCCACAGCACCACTCTGGTTTTCTGGTTGTTAATTGGAGATAAGAGTCTCACAGACCTTTCTGCTTGGGCTGCCTTTGAACCAGATCCTCAGATCTCAGTCTCCTGAGTAGCTAGGATTACGGATTTGAGCTACCATTGCCTAGCCTATTCATTCAGTTTTAATGTCACATCACAGGAGATGTTCTATGATCTGAATATATGGTTAGTAAAAGTATTCAGAGAATGTCTTTACTGATGATGTTATAGGAGACAACATGAAACCATTTTCAAAATGCAGGTTTAAGGATGATGTAGACTTTATCATGCTAGTATTTCAATGTCTTGTATGCTCTCAGCCTTTATATTTCACAAGAAACCTATACATTTGACAGATAAATTGAAGAGTGTTTTTTTCACATTAAGTCCTCTGAACTTTCTTGGTGAATATAATATTTATTACATTGCCATGCTTGATTAACCCTAGGTCTGATGAAATGATCTATGCTCATTTAGACTAAAATATACAAAATGTTTTAGTCCTACTTCAGAGAAAAATATGAAAAAGTAATGATGAATTGTGAAGAAAAGGTATACATTTTGATGCCACAAAAATTGAGATTCTAAAAAACTATTCTTTGGCTAATTATTGTCAGGATAATTAGCTTTTTTTCTTTTATCCAAGAGAGCTAGCTGAAAATTGTTGAGTAACCTTCTAGAATTTTCAGACCAGAATTGGAAGGGTGCTAAGAGATCATCTTGTATAAATTCCCACAAAATGAAGTTTTCTATCAATAATGTCGGTATATGTGGTAGCTTTTGTTTCATGACTCACAGTCACTCAAAGCATATTATTTTGTCAGACTATTTATTCTATTATTAGACTGCTCTAATTCCTAGAAATCTTTCCCCTATGGAAAAATCAGTCTCTCTCTCTTCCTCTCTATCTCTCTTCCTCTCTCTCTCTCTCAATTCTATTTTCTAATTTATTTATTAGACTTAATTCTTCCCTGAAAGAAAAGCACATCTGTGGTTTTTTTTCCCCCCCTTCCCTCTAGTTCTTTTATATAGTCACTTTTTGGGTGATGTAGTTATCTTGTCCTTTCTTTCTTTATACCTACCATCTCTACTCCATTTCCTAGACTCAGTGTGCAGCAATACCTTACCTGCCCTTACTGATAGGAATTCCAAACATTTCTGAATCCTTGTCACTCCCTTCAGGCTTGTTTAAACTCTGTGGTTCTTGGTGTCTGAGCATGCTTCTTGAGATGTAGTTTGTTTGTTTTTGCTGAGTATGTTGGAGTGACAAACAGCTTACCATAGTGGCTTTTTATATCAGGGGCATTTGCTTTTGCATCAAAAAGCAGAGCAAGTCAAGGGAAGTGGCTAGGGACATATAATATTCTTATAGAGTATGAGCAGAACCAATGATTGGTGAAAATAATGTAATAGGTCACATGTAATTGGATTTTCAGAAAGGAATAGAGATAGTCATGTTGCTTTTTACTCTAAAAAGGCATACATTATGGCAGTCAAATAAAATAAAATACAGGCAAAACCAGATTGAAGATGGAGGATATCCTGTTTTGTTCAATGAAATATAGCTTTTAAGTTCTTAGTAGGCATATGAATTTGAACAAGTAATGTGTTCTGCTATTCTCATGGATGAAAAAGATTACCTCTTTTATAATAATAGTAAAAATGTGCCCTGGATGCTAAATTCAAGATAATAGCAGCAATTTCTCATATAAGGATTACTGATTGTTCAAGTAGCCATTGTGTTGTTTTTTGTTTTTGTTTTTTATTTTGTTTTTCGCAATGGATTTATAGAAGCTGAGAAGAGCCACATTCTTGTGGATCTTTGTTATATTGGTTGTTTAAGTAGGACATAATCTTGAATCAAACCTTATTCAGCGAAAAGTCTGACCATTATAATTACAGCCTTCTCCAATACCATATCTTTCAGTAGAGTTATAATTAAGAAGCAACATTGAATATAATCATTTAATTTTTTTGTCTTTTTATTTAGGGCTTGGATGAGGCTCTGCCATTAATCCCCAGGTCCCCATTGGAGACTTTGGTGCCTTTTACTCTCTTTCTTCCTATAATGCATATTTCTCATTTATATGTGTTCATGAAATACAGTTTGAAGAGACCCTTTCGTTCATGGACCTCTGACTGGTACAAACACTATTTCATCCCCTGTTACTGTTTGAAGATTGTAATTCAGTGAAGACCATGCCTCTTTTCATATTTGTATAAATAAGAAATATTAATTTTTTAGCATTGTGGAACATGAAAGGTCTAATGATCAAGTACATAGGGAATACATTTTAAGATCCATTTAAGGTAATATTTTCCTAAGGTAATTAAGAAAGATTAAATGAATGAGTGTTAAATGGGGCTTCCCAGCCCCAGATGTACATGTGTTTCTTAGAAAGGCTCAATGAGACATTCTATTAGTTAATGGGGCTAATCAGACCATTATGTAAGGAGAAAGTTGTGAGTACCTATATGCAGAGGCAGAGAACTGTGTCTGTCTCAATGCAACTAACACCGATACTGATGAATCTATCTCCTGGTGGCAGTTCTTACTTGAGTACATTTTATAGGTCTCAGAGGCAAGATCTGTATTACCAAAGGCCAAGTTTGTAACAACACAGTTTACAACATCAAAAGTACCGGATGGATAGCTAGGACAAAAACATACTAGCACATATTTCGGGACTTAAAATCAACCTAGGAAATACTCATCTAGGGAAAGTTTTAGACCTAATGTAGTCGAGTTGCTGCTTCCATAATAGTAGAGAGAAACCAGAAATGAGAGGGAAGTGATCTGTTCCATCGATGGCACATTCTTTTTCATTAATATTACTTTGTCACTGAGCATTTTTAAGTTAAAAGATAATATATAGGAATGGCTTATGATTAAAATAACCTAGAGTATAAACAGAAACCCCAAAGAAAATTGTTCAGTATACTTTCGAAGATTTTTTTTTCCCCAGTCCTAGGGCTTGAGCTCAGGGCCTGGGCACTATTCCTGAGCTGCTTTTGCTCAAGGCTAGCACTGTACTACCACTTCCACCTTTCCAGTTGATCTGGTACTTAGGAATGGAACCTGAGGCTTCATACACGCTAGGCAAGCATCCTACCACTAAGCCACATCCCAGCCCCTTATTATACTTTTACAAGCAAGTTTAATATTAAACTTGATATTTTTGTTTATATTTTAAAAACCGGACCACTCATAATGTTAGCATTCATTGGACTTTTTCACTTTATGCATTTTGATTATGCTTAAACCTTTAGTATTGTATAGGGTGACTTTCTTTGTCCTGGTCTTATTCTGTAGGTTTACCATAATTTATTTTACAGGTCTTCTGCTTTTGAACAGTTATGTTTTTTTTTTTTTCAAATCATTTGATACTATAAACAATGCCAAAGCAAAGCAGTGGTCTCTGTAATAAATAGAAGACATATTTGATAGGATTTAAAATATTGTCAGAATACATAATTTGAGTCATTAGAATAAACTGTATTAAAACCATAATGGCAGATGAGTTTTTTGAGCTGTGCCTTTTAACCTTTTGAGTTTATAGAGAATCGGTTGCTAACTAATACCTTTTTACCTTCATGGTGCAGATAAACATTTAAGCACAGGCTCATTGAGCAAAGAGGCCTAGGGTATCATATTGGAAGTGGAGCATTAGAGGGACAGACAGTAAGAGAAAGCCCAGGAGGTCCTAAATAAATGGTAGAGAAGCAAGAGAAAAATTAGTAAAGTGTAACACCCTTGAAACTTAAGGGACTTCTCTACTTGTGACAGGAGACCAAGAAAACCATGTGTGATATCAATTCTTTTCTGCTGGCGTAAGCCACTGATTTTCAATTTTTGTCATACATCAGAATCACTAGAGAGCTTGATAAAACAGAAATCTGGGTCTCACCTGCAAAGCATATGATTCCATAGTTCTGTGATTGTACCCCAGAATGTACATTTTTAACAAGCTTCCTGGTGATGCTGAAACAGCTGACTCAGGGAGAGTCCTTTTAATATTTTCTTAAATAAAATATAAAACAGTATATATTAAATAACAGGAAGATTCTTGATTGTATAACAAGTTGTCAAATATTAGTTGCCTTTTCCTAATAAATGCAAGTAATAATTGTTTTAAAGCTAAACTTATTTCAGATGTTTAAATTGTTATAGAATTTAGTGAACTCTTAAATGTAATCTTATAGAAGTATCAAAGTAATTTGTTTTAAAAGTGTAAACCTTGTTTTGTGATTAAATTAAAACCATTTTAAGATATAATACCTAAGGGGAAAAATCTATTGTTCTTCAACTAGTTTATATTTCAGTAT